GCTAGTTCTTATACTAGTCTGTTTTCAAAAGCATGGTTTGGGAGATAACGCGAAAAGAGAGGTTGAGAGGGATCTGGAAGGCGCGGATGGCCAAGACAGGTCGGAGAAGAGTTAGTATTTGGGTGGGTATCAGGAAAAGTAGGTACGAGATGGGTGGCAGTAAGGTTGTTGAAAGAGAGCTGAACTCGAAGCAAGAGGCAAGATTTAATAAGAGTGGTGTGGATAGTGTGGGTAGTGTAGATGGGGTGGGTAGTGTAGATGGGGTGGTTGTGGATGAAATGGGTGTGGATGAAGTGGATGTTTGGGAGGTGTGGATAGATAGCTGGCTTGGGAATTCAGATGAAGACGGGTTAGGATCTCAGCCGGGGACAAGCACCAATACAACGCGGGTGGTAGAGGGGCCGGATCGCTGTGTGATTGAGTGGGTGGGAGGCCGGGGTGAGAGTTTATCAGATGTGCTAACTTGTGTCGGGGACGTTCTGCAGGAAATTAGTAGGGAGTGTAGTGGGGAGTGTATTAGGGAGTGTAGTGGGGAATGTAGTGGGGAATGTAGTGGGGAGTTAGTATTGAGTGGAGTGGATGATGGCGTAGATGATGAGGTAGATGATGGCGTAGATGATGAGGTAGATGATGAGGTGGATGATGAAATGGATAGTGGATACTCACCCGTGCAGATCGAGCGGGTTGAACTGTATGGACTGTTTTTGTGCCGGCGAGTTGGGTGGAAACTACTGGGATTAGGGGCGGAAGAGATCAGTCTGATAAAATGTGTTGTGGAAAAGGACGAAAGGGGCACGGAGTGCTGCGAGAGTTCGAGTGGGTTGACGGAGTGGCAGGACGGGCGGTTTTCGTGCAAGCAAGTAGTGTTTTGCGAGATGGTGCTAGAGGATGTGCGTGTGCTGCTCTTACGAGAGCTGCAGTGGGTTGAGAAGGTTTGGCTGAAGAAAATCGAGTGTTTGGGGCAGCGGCTTGTAGAGGGATGGATAGGCTGTGCGGTAGTTGAGCTGGCGGTGGAGCACTGCCGGAATTGGGCGTGGAGTGACTGGCGGGCCAGTTGTCCTTCTTTGCGCGTCTTATCTCTGCAGGCAACTCGAGCAGAGATAGATAGCAGTTTGGGTGGAGTGGAGGACTTTAGCTTAGGCCTCAGTCGGATTGCAGACGTGTCCTTGCCGGAATGGATAGTGTGCGACTATCCAGATATGCTGAAGAGCGTGCCGGGAAAGATTGCTGTGCAGCGAGTGCGGCTGTATGCGGGCAGTACTATTGGGGTGGAGATCGAGCAGTACTGGGCAAAGGAAAGGATAAAAGTAAGTATTCAGGCGAGTTTATTGGGCCGAGCTGAGCAGTACTTAGGGCATTTACAGCCCAAAGCTCTTGCTCGGACTCTTTTATTGCAGCGAGATAGGACAAGGTTGCGATGGGTTAGTGTTGGTTTGGTGTTGAATTGGGTGGTCGGGAGGAGAGTAGTAGAAGCTAAAGTAAATGCGAGCAGAAAGAATAAGTGGCGTAGTACTCGGGCGGTGTGCTGCCAGCAGCAAAGAGACACTAAGAGGTTGTGGTGGGTAGCTGGTAGTCCTCGGTGGCTGGAAATAGTCGTGCAAATGGACAGACAGCAAGTGGAGGTGGGTAATAGGGAAGCAAGTTACTTGTTGCATCTACTATCGGGGCTGTTTGGCCACCTAGAGAAACTGCAGGTGCTCCTGCCTTGTGGGTACTTCCAGAGGGCAGAAGGAAGAAAAGAAGAGCTGAGACTGGTGGCCGAGCATAGCACCTTGCAGCTGCCAACCAATACGCTAGTAGGGCACTGGCACGCGATTCCTCGGCTGTCCTGTGGGTTCTTGGTGCCGGTGGCCCAACTTAACACGCCGCGGTATGTGAACAAAGCGGCGCGGCTTCTTCTCTACGTGCTACTGGGCAGCGAGACTCCCGGGCTGTTCTGTCTCCAATGCCGAGCGACTGCGCACAAAGCAGCCCAGCTAATCGGACAAAAGACAGCGCAGTGGGCTAGGGAGCGGGAAGAAAGAAGGCTTTTGGCCGAGCGAGAAGCAGCCAAGCGGGCCGAAGAGACAGTGCCGCAACAGGACCCCAAGATGCACCAAATGTTTCGGATTATTCGCCGGCAGGAGCGCTGGAAGGAAAAAGTCCGGCTGAGCGGAGCACAGGGAAATGATGCCAAGATCGGCCAGGAGGCAGAACGGCAGCCACCGCAGCGGATAAGTATCGGGCCGTGCTGGAGTGATTGCTGTCCATGGAGCAGTGAGCTGGAAGAGAGCAACTTAGGCCGGATATTTATCTGGGTTAGTATTAAGGGCGCAGAAGCCGTGCTATCCTTCGCTATGCTGTATGTCATCTACCTGGCACTGTACATTGTATTTGCCGGTCTAGAGGCCCTGGGCCAGAACGAGTTCCTAGGAGTGGTAGGACGCGTCAGTGCCGGCATGTATTACTAACTAGGTGGTATTGAGTTGGTATTTGGTTGGTATTGAGTTGATTGAAGTTCAATTTATTGATTATCAGGGTTAGGATTTGATTGGCAAGCACATAATCTAACACAATCTAATCTAACAAAACACAATCCTAACCCAACACAACTCAATCTAATCTAACAAAACACACTACCAACTCAATCTAATCTAACAAAACACACTACCAACCCAATCTAATCTAACAAAACACACTACCAACCCAATATATAACTTAATTTAAATCAAAAACTAAACCAAACTAACTCAACTGAACTTAACCTATTTTTTCTTTATTGGGTAATTATGATGTCAATTCGAATTTCTAAAGCTGTGATAACGATTGTGCTTCTGATCTGTTTAGTAGACCGGGCGGTAGCTGGCTCCGAGGTGGCCCAGAGACTTAGGGCTCTTTTTGGCCGGCTAGCACGACAAGTACCACTAGGGCCTGCGGCTGGAGATAGCCAGAACACGACGTGGTCGTCCTTGAAAAAGAAAACACTCGCTGGTGCTACACTTAGTCGGACGTATGCTCATTCTACGGCGACTAACTGGTCGCTGGCCTTGAACATTGAGCAGGCAGAAGACTGGATAGAGTTAGAGAGCCGATTGCTGAGTGAAGATAAATTCACTCTTCCGAATGTGTCTCTAATTGACTGCATGTCAGACGGCCGGGCAAGTCCAGTGGAGGCCCGAGTTCTTGAGGAAATTATCCGGCAGTTGACTGGCACAGAACACCTGTCTCTTGTGGGTATTCAGCTTCAAGATGAGAGTCAGGATTTGTCGAGAGAGTCCTCAGAGCCTTCTTTGTCCTCGCAAACAGACCTATCATCTGCGGCATCCGGCCTATCTAACCCAATAGTAACCCAACTCGATCCTAAGTTCGTTTTGGTCCGGGCTCTTACAATTATTCATAGCGAAGCTGTACTCATTGACAAGGTGCTTGGATGGGTTGACTGCGCACGGATTGAAGTTCTTTCTCTCCACGACTGTCTAGCAACCAGTACGTCTTTTCTGTCCAAGTACCAGTGGCCACAGCTGCGCCGTCTTTGCATTGTTGCGAGCCCGCAGTTGCAGGAGCTAGACCTGCGGATGCTGCAGAACACATCCAAGGTTGAGTTGGGACTATTTGACATTCCAGCCCAGGCCAAACCAATCTTGCCGCCTACTGCCCTGTCCTGTTCACAGCTCGCTACAGACCGGTCGTTCTTGACCCGGCTAAACAGTCTCGTTGAACTAAAGCAGTGTGCAATCTTGACTGAGGTCTTAGAAATAGACCTTTCCATTATCATGACACAGCCCATCAATTACAACTCGCCATCATCCAGTCTTCTTCTCTCTCCCGCCAATTTGTCGCCATCTACCTTAACCTTCCCCATCGCCAACCCAAATAAGTGTCTGGTGGCAGCCAAAGAAATAATCGTATGGCTAGAGTGTCGCAGTGGTTATCCGCTTAGTATGGAGTATATCCAGACGGACTGTCTCACAACACTCTCTATTTTTAAATGCAGTGCCCCGCACGTTTCAGTGCTCTACGGCGTCACTTCAAAGGATGGGCTTACTCCGAGAATTTACCAGATCAATGGTTCCGCTATCGTAATGGAAGTTTTTGATAGGAACTCAAAGACAAAAGAGCCCACCATCCGCGAAAGACTGCTTGACGTGGCCCATGGATTTTGCTGTTAATATTGCGTTAGGTTAAGTTGGTATTGTGTTACGTTGGGTTAGGTTGTGTTGTGTTAAGTTGTGTTAGGTTGGGTTGAGTTGAGTTGTGTTACGTTGAGTTGGTATTGGTTTGGTGAGCTGGATTTAGATAGACTTATGCCAACTAAGGCCCAACAAATCTCCTGGCTACCTTATCAATACTAACTCTACTCTACTTAACCTAACCTTGATTGCATTGCATTGCTCCACACCATCTAATACTAACTCAACTCAACTCAACCCAACCTAATCATAAACATAATCTAATTTACCTTTTTAGGATATTTCTAGTATAAATACATTTCCTTATACATGATTATGCGCTATTTTGAGACTCGCTGCTTAATTTCACGTAGATTTGCACTAGCGCCTGTCTGTCTACTACTCGTGATGTGCTTGTGTGGCCTATCCCGAGCTTCCGATAGGGGACCGAACGCAGGGCCCAACAAAGAAGGACTAGTCATGGGCTTAGATACCAAAGTCCTGTCTAGACTGAGCAGCATGCTCTATCCACTCGCTCGAACAGACACCGAAGAATACTGTCCCCGTGAGCAGGCGATTAATATATCGAGTGCCAATAACTCTGATCTGATTGTTAACCCTAATTGGGGAGTCGTAGTAGAGTGTACTCAGGCCAACGCCGATCTCGAGACGGCTCTTGCAAACACTGGCTTGGTCATCTGCCAGAGCTTGCTAATTAAAAGAGACAGTGTAGAGGATACTTCGCCAATAGCAATTTCTGTGCTAATCCACACTCTTGCTAAATTTAGACCTACTACTCTACAGATCTGTCTAGCCCGTTTTCTTTCAACTGGCGCCCAAACTTCAGCAGCGTCACTCGACAACAACCTGTCTCCAACCCAGCCTAGTAATCCTAAACCAACATTATCTCATAAGAACAGCACTGATTCGTCTTGCACGGACAACTCAACCCGAACTTCTCCCAACGGCCGCTACGTTTCCACAGCCACTCTTGTGTTTGAAAGCCCCCAATCCGCCGACTCCATGAGTTCAAATGGGCAGAAAGCTTTGCCGACCGGCTCATCCATTTCCAGCTCGACCCATAGCATCAGAAGCAACCAGAGTGTCTCGAGCACCACCAGTTACCACTCCTGTAAATCACGCTGGGAGAAATCAGCCAGCACCAATTCAGATCCGGCTGCCAACTCAAGCACCCCGACCAATACCCCAACTACTACCCCAACTAACACCACTCCTACCAATCCCATCTTAAGTCTAGTCATTGCTGCCACTGACGCCGAGGTCATCGAGTTGGTCTTTGAAAGGATCTCGACTGCTCAGCTGATGCAAATCTCGATCATTAAGTGCCCAGTCAAGAACCTCTCCTTCCTTCAGGACATCTCCTTAGACTCCCTGGAGTTTTTCTACCTCTTTAATCCTACCTTGCTAGAGCTACTAGACATCGGCTTTCTGCTCAACCGCCCGCAGCTGGACTTAGTCCTACGCAGGATTCCCAAGACAGCTAGACTTCAGCTCCCGGGCTCCGCCATTACTCTTCGACACTTCACCACCGACCACGACTTTCTCTACAACTTTCGTGGCGCCGGAGTGTCTATTCACTGCCAAGACCGGCTTAAAGTAATTATGGACGACTTAACCTCCTTTTCTCTGCCCAGGGACTATTTGAATACCAATGTGCAAACAGACTGTTTTGTCCGGACTGATGTTGTGGCCGTGCACATTATATCTCCATCCCAGCTATTTGATTACGATCTCGTGGCTGAAAAGGCACTCCACCCGCTTGGCGAGAGTGGTGTCTATTCCAATAGAGGAGACATTCTTTACGGGGTGACTTCTATTCATGGCATCGCACCCGAGTATTACACGTACTACGGCTTGGGTTGGGACTTGGCCAGTCACGTGGTGGCAGCCTATATTTCCCCCCAATGGGATCCACAAGCTTTTATCAATCCACTGACCTCCACTCTACCTCAGCGGCCCAGCTCGGATAACTCAGCCCAGACATGCTGCCCGCCCCAACCATCTCATCCACCAGCCCTAATCCAGCCGGCCACAGAAGTTTACACCTCCGAAATGGCATACGTATCTGACTGCACTATTCCATTGCATACACCCCAGGGTTCACAAGACTCCAATGCAACCCACATTTCCGAGTATTCACTCCCGTCCGATTCACACCGACAATCCAATCCATCCCTTTCATCCTACCAGACCTGCCAGCCTTCCTCAACCCCGCCCAGTCATCCAAATCATCCAACCCAGTCAACCCCACCCAATCATCTAAATCACCCAAACCACCTAACACACCCAAATCATCTAACACAACCATTACAGGAAGAAAGACAACAGCCACCACAACCTAAACCCAACCAAATAATAACCCAACTAAAACAGCCGAGAAATCGAAGCCGATCAGATGCACCCGTCCGCTACAGCACAAGTGATTCTTCAAAGGACCAAACAGCCATAAACCCCCAACTACCCAAAGCCAAGCCAAGCAATAACTCTTCATCCCACCCCGTGCCCATTTACACTGCCCCAGCCGACTTCACAACACTTGACGCCACAGCACTTGACCCCATAGTACTTGACCCCGCTGCACTTGATCTTTTTGCCATTGACTCCGCAACACGCCATCCTACAGCACTCGACTCTATCCCATCCGAGCCTAGTACACCGGCCCCGGACACCCGTGTTCGTACCCCATACATTCCGGGTCCATACATTCCATCAAATCTCCCAAGAAAATCCAAGCAGCCCAACCCACTTACGGCCGAGTCTGCCCGGGCCCCCTCATCCTCTGATGCCTCACATGATTCTGTCCAACCACCCTCTAGTGAGCACTCCTTTTCCACGAGCAAATCTTCTGTGCAAGCTAAACAGAAACCCAATACTAAACGCAAGCCTGTGCGAAAACAACCCCGATCAAACAAGCCAGAACCAAGCAACCATCCAACCGACGAGGGCACTCCATCGCGCTCCTTTCTTGACATCCTATGCTGCCGCCCCGACGAAACCGCCTAGAACTGCAGCTTAAATAAAGATAGTGTTAGTATGAGTTGGTATTGAGTTGGTATTGTGTTAGGATTGAGTTGGTATTGAGTTGGTGTTGAGTTAAATAGAAAACTGCAGATGTTACTGTTGTTGATTACTGGCCGCACCAGAGCAAATGTGATTTGCCCCTGGATCATTTTACTGATAAAATCGCTGATACTTGCAGATATTTATTAGATTAAGTTGTGTTAGTTGTGGTTTAGGTTTAGTATTGGGTTAGTTGTGCTGTGTTAAGTTAATATGGTGATATTTAAATGGCATTCAGACGATACCAACTTAACCTATCCTATCCTATCCCAACATAACCTAACCTAACATGACCCAACATAACCCAACATAACCTAACTTAACCAAATACCAATCTCAATTAAGTAAGGATTCGCGACAAATAAGTGGTTATTATTAGGCCGATGGAAGTCCGACCTGGGTTTGCTGCACACTCTGTTGGACCATCTTCTGAAGAACATTGTAAATGCTCTGATGGGGGTGGGAACAGAAGACCCACACGGCAAACACGAGCAGTGCAATAAAGAAAACAAGAATTGCGCCCTTGGCCTTGCTTCCAACGAAGCCTTTGTTAATACTGTCCCGGATCTGGCTGAAGAGCATAAGAAGCGTAGAGACCCCTAGCAGCACGATCTGTGATATGTTTTGGGCGACAGCACTGTTGGAGTCTGCTACGAGCCATCCCGAGGCGCCGGCAACCAGCTTGTGGCCAAAGTAGAAGACCGCGCTGCCTGCTAGCAATGTGATCAGAACAATGGCTAGTAACTTTTTGAAGTGGTACCGTGCCGAGTGCCTTCTCTTGTGCGCCAGAGTTGATAGCTCTAAATAGAGATAGATAACGCCCAGATGAATGGCAGCAACGGCCAGAACAAAGAGGGGCAGAAAGTCTCGGATTACATACTCTTTCTGCAGTGCCGAGACAAACTCTTGCTGGTTGAGCAGACCGATCAGGCTGAAGACCTCTCCGACAATTCGGTAGAGCCAGATGAGCATTCCAAAGTACGCACCAACCCCGGACCAGCCCAGCTGTCGCATTTCGTGGTAGATGCTGTCTACGTTCTCTTGGTACATGATGGCTTCCTTGATGGCCTCAATTGGGCTGTCCTTGCTGCTGGCCATCTGCTGGTGTACGCTGGCAATCAGAAGAGCCTTTTGGTCTTTGTCGGTCTTAAGGTGTGTGTATGTGCCCATTCCCATTTCTTCTCTGTGGTCAATATATGATCAATATGCCAATCAATATACCACCACAATACTACTCTTTTAGGACATACCAATAGAGTGGTGTGGTGTGGTGTGGTGTGGTGTGGTGAAGTGAGATATAGATTAGATTTGAGATAACCTGACCAGATTGAAGCAAACTCCTAACTTAACACAACCCAATACATAACACAACCCATTACATAACTTAACTCAATACATAACTTAAGCCAAATTAACATAACACAGCTTACAATTCCAAGACAATTAAAAGAAATGCCAACCCAACTGGAATGGAATTCAGAAGAGCTTCAATAAAAATCTAGCCAGTAATTAGTGTGAGATTTAAACAATATTTAGAGAGTCAAACCAACCGGACTGGGATAGGACTGGGGTGGAAGGCGCGTCATTACTAAAGAACACATGCCTTGCATTCTATTGGGTTGGTATTATGTTGAGATTGTATTGAGATTGTATTGAGATTGTATTGAGATTGTGGTGGTATTATGATGGTATTATGTTGATAATTGTGGTAGTATTATGATGGTATTATGATAGAGTACTTTCCTGTTTATTAACCACTACCATCTCGAACAACACCGACGAAATTAATCACTGCCATCTCAAATAACACCGACGAAATTAACCACTGCCACCTCAAATAACACCGACGAAATTAATCACTGCCATCTCAAATAACATCGACGAAATACTAACCACAATTCAAATCTATTTTAAGTATGCAGATAGTAGAAAAGAACCAAACAGGTTCAGTGGGCCAGCAATCTTGCCGGAAGGCAGAAAGAGGCTCTAGGACTTTGGAGATACTGGCTGTGTACTACGTCTGTGTGGTCTTTTGGGTATATCTGGGCCTGGGTCTGTTTAAGGTGTGGGAGGTACGAACACTAAGTGCTGTTATTTGCTACGCGTTATGTATTGTAAAGCTATTCAATGAGAAGTGCTTCTATATCCAGATGGTGCTGAGCAGCACACTGGGCAGTTCCGAGAAGGCCCAGCAGACATTCCAGAAGATCTGGCTTGGGTCACTAGCCGGCGGCGCAGTTGTTCTTTATTTCTTGTATTTACTCTACCTTGGGGCCCCAGGCCAGGCAGAATTCTATGCAGTTTCATTGTCTCTGCTGCTGGCAATGAGTGGGTGCTGCTTTGGGGCGGTCTTGGCTGAAGTTTACTGGGGCAGACGAGCAACTGATGTTCAGATACAGTGGGCTAAGTTGAACTTTGGATTGGTGCTAGGAGCACAACTGTGTGCGCTGGCTTGGGTTTGTTTAGGACTTTGGTTAGGTTAAGTTACGTTAGATGTGGTGTAATTAGATTGGGTTGTGTTGAGTTGAGTTGAGTTGAGTTGGGTGTGATGTAGTGTGATGTAGTGTGATGTAAGTGTTATAAGTGGAGATAAGCTATTTGTGGATGTGGTATACAGTGGTTCAATTTAATGGAACATTTAAGTGCTTTTTATTGGGTTAGTGGAATAAAAGCTGATTGGGTTAGTATTGGATTATTTCCCAAAAAGGAAAGTCGTTAAAATAATAAAGAAAATGTGCCAAAAAGATTAACGATCAAATGGCGATACACAAAGATGATGCAGATTTAAATATTAAACAGGGGGATGAACAATTAGATCAAAATATACATTCCAACGTAGCTGGAAGCAACACGAAATACTTGACTATAAAAGAACTAGGACATGGCATTGCAGTATCTTTGTGTGCAGCAACGGCGGTTAGTGCCATATTGTCTATTCTGCGGTTTTTTGCGAAGGACTTCAAGTTGTACCAAGACTTTAACCCCACACTGACTGAGTATATCAAAATATGTGATATAGCCAGCATAGTTATTCCGGCTATCTTCTTGGGTCTACTGGCCCTTTATCTGCTCCAGTGGTTTTGGGCTTCGCACAACTTTCGTGGTGCTCTGCTCCGAACTCTGGTTTGTTTAGCCGCCGGCGCAATAGCGACCGGTATTCTTGTGGCGTTGGGTCTGTTTATACAGAACACAGCCGGCACAATTACAACAAACCAGAGCATTATCAAAGCTACTTCAACCGCACTCGCCCTCCTTGTCTTTCTTATTCTTTCTATTCGAGGCAGAATCAAGCTCTACAAAGCCACCAAATCCATCTGGCGGGCGGTCATTGCCATAACACTAATTTTCCTCATTGCGCTTGGTATCACAGTTATTTTCGGCTGCATGGCCTTTGAGCCCACAGCCATCCGATACTACAACAACGAAATTAGTCGACAAGTCAGCCAGAATGCAGAAAGAGCTTGGAATTCACTCTTCTCATAATAGTGCACTACGCCCAACCAACCAACTCAACTACTAACAAAACCAACACTAACTCAAAACCAACTACTAACATGACAAATGAGATACCCCAAACAACTCAACTCAACTAACCCAAACTAAACTAAACCCAACCCAACTCAATATCAACTCAAACAAATAAACTCAATATCAACTAAACTCAATATTAACTCAACTAAACCCAAACAACTCACTATAAATATCAGTACAATTTTGTATTTTCATGTCAACAGCCACTAACCCAATAATAACTTCAAATAACCAAGCAAAAGTCATAGTTGGCTCTTCGCGCTCAGCCCGAATGAAAGGCATCAAAGGTCTTCTAGTCGGCTCCTGCTTCACTGCCGTGCTCTGCATTTCTTCTTGTATCTCTGTCTTCTTTATGCTTTATGCGTCCATCCGGGACAAGATTCCAGCAAATGCCGATAAGTCCTACCAGCAATTGCACACACTACTGGGCGGCGGTCTACTAATCTTTATGATAGCAGCATTGCATTACCTTTACAGCACGTGCTGTCTGTCCCAAAAACGCGGAGCTCTTCTGATGGCTATAGTTTGGGCTCTTATTGGCTTCGGGCTAACCATAATACAAACCCATTGTCTACTCCGCGTCGCCATTAAGTTAGAGGGGAACTCCAGCAACGAATTCCTCTTCTTTATCGCATGCAGGGTTGTTTTGACCAGCATGGGGCTATTGTTTGCTATCTTTTCGGCGTTCAGTCTGCTCGAAGCGGCGCGACGAAGTGGATGGCGCCTCATTAACAACTCGTGTAGTACTAGCATACTTATTGCAGGAGTAATATTCATGCTCTGTGTTCTAGGACACTGGGACGGTGTCGAGGCTGCTATCCTTAGCTATCCTGTTAATCGATTCCTTTCGCAACTCACTCCCTCCGCCCTCCGAGACGTCTTAGCACAAGCAGCAAACTACACGCGCCAACACATTGGTGCTGGAAAAGATTAAACTTGATTTGGGTTAGTATTTTGTTAGTAGTTTGATTTATTTTGATTTATTTTGATTTTGTTACTAGTTTGATTGTGTTGGTATTTTGTTAGTAGTTTGATTGTGTTGGTATTTTGATTTGTGTTACTAGTTTGATTCTATTCGTATTGTGTTCGTATTTGGGTTATTACTCTAACCAAACCAATATTAACTCTAACCAAACCAAACCAAACCAATACTAACTCTAACCAAATACTAACTCTAACCAAATACTAACTTAATCTAACCAAATAGGTGCATAGAAAATCAAACGTAACTTTACAAAAATAAAAATTACCTAATAAGGAAATAAAGCCTTGAGTTACCTAAAAAGGAAATGTTCTGCTTAGCCAGTATTAAAATCTTATTTTTCTGACGTTCATGCAAGTAATAAGGAAAGATCGCTATGTTCCTTTGAAAAGGAGCTTTACCCATCGAGTAGGGCTTGTTCTCATCGTATTAGTCTGTCTGGGCTGGGCCGCCGCCGAGAACCAAAATGGGCCGTGGCAAAGAATTCGAAGATTAACCCAAAGCAATCATGCGTTTGATTTAATTAAGAGCAAAAGCCAAATATCAACTACACCTGAACCAGAGACAAAACACATCAACCTCAAACAGTACTTGGTAGAACAAAAGGAAAACATATCGAGCGTGCTTAACTTCAAGTCAGTTTGGTTGCAAGATGACATAGCGAATGGTGCCACTAGCAGCCCATCAGGTAATACTGAACCTAACCCAATAGTAATCGAGACAGGAATCAAGATAAAAAACAGCGCAGGAATCAAGACAAAAGCCAACACTGAAGCCAGCACTACTTCTTGGAATGATTTGAAAGATACTCTCCAGCTGATAAAAGCAATCAAATGTGAAGGCTTTTCCTTCTACGGACCTCCAAACGGTGCACCGCTTGCCATTCCAACAGACGTACTGATCTACTTGCTGAGCATCACTGAATGCTCAACCATGCACATTAGCAATGTAAACGAGCTAGCATCTAAAGAGCTTAACATTGGATTGTCTAAACCACCAGCCAGATTAAACACCCCAACAACCTATTTAGCGTGTACCGGCTGCTCAGTTACCGCCCTTTCCACTCTAGTTTCTTCAGAAACTGTCAACTTCAAACTAGCCCAGCTTGATCTTGTCGACCTTGTCGGCCAAAACCTCAATTGGATAAAGCAGCTACAATGGGATGAAGAACAGGTTAGTATTTCTATTAGACACAAGGCCATCGAACTTACTAATGAGGACAATAATCCCCTAGACGGCCAGAACAAAAAGGAATACAGACATCCCAAAACAATTAACTTGCAAGTTTTCCAGAACATTGCTAGCGCCAAGAAGCAAGTCCGTTTTATCAACCTACCAGCCGAAACCAATCTCGTGAACATTGCGCCGACCGATGCCGCCAACAGTCCAACGCCAAGTCCAGCTTCAGAAATTACCTTGGTCGTAGATCATGCGATCTGGGAAGCCTTTTTAGTCTCCCAGCAAAGGGCGCCTATCGTGATAGATAAGCTTTTGTTCATTTGTTCGGCCAAAACCCGCGATAGCTTAGATGAGCTAAAAGACAGACTCCGCAAAAGGAACAACCCTCGTCCGGAAGCCCAAATTAAGGCTACTCGCATTGATACTAGCGCCATATGTGCCTCGGAAGAAGACATACACAAATTGTTGGTTATGACTGGTAATTTAGGCCAGGTCAACTTTATCAATATGCCTAAGATGCTATATAATTCTACCAAAAAGCCACAGAGCTATTCAATTGAGTCAGTCGCAAAGATGTTTGAAGAACCAAGCCCACCAAAGACCCCATCAACTGACTTACCACCACGTTCCATCCCCATCTTACCAGAACCAACCACTCCAACTACTCCAGCCTCCCCGGTCATTTCAACTACTCCAACCACTCCAGCCATTTCAACCTCGCCCTCTTTGGCTGAGCAGACGCCCCAAGAAGGTGACACCGGAGCCGTTCAAGAAGTCCTTAATGAGATTGTTGATGAGATTGTTGATAACCAGCAGGCACAATTCCAAACCGACCAGCCGCCAGCATTGCCATTGACCCCAAGGCCCATAGACCTTTTTGGCGGTCGAAGCCACATCTGTGTCTACAATAGTATTTTGGATGACGACCAGCGGAAAGTAATTCAAAATCATTCGCTATATGAAGTGGATGACTTTGATGCCGAGTTTACAAAGGATTTATACGATGGTCGGATTGAAGTAGTTAGTATGACAGAGCTCTTTAAAGAAAAGAAGCCTATGACCATACATAAGCCTATGCCTAGACCCACGACTCCCCTTCTTGTCGACTCGCAAAATGATACATCAAATCTAACTCAACCACCCCGCCCTAACAAGGGAATAATTGAAAGAGTACGTTCATTCTGGCAACGATTATTCAAATCCACGCCGGCCGCACCTACTCCTAACCCAAAAGAAGACTCCATGCCTGTCGACACCAAAACACCTCCTGGTCTCATTGCAGTCATTAAAGTGCTGTATGAGATGGATGCTGAGAAAATGCACCCCAAACTTTTCCGTGTGTCGGGTACTACGAGTAATGTTACTGATGTGCTTAAGAGAAACATTATCAACAATCAGCCACTCACCACGGAAGAACTGGAATATATGGATCCCGCCCTGCTCACTAGTGCAATCACTGGGTATATAAGAGAACACCACACCGCATTATTAGACTTAACCCATTGGGAAATGCTCAGGTCTCTCCGTGATAAAGTGAGCCGACTAGTGGAAGACTACCAACAGCAATCAAATACTTCCACCCAGCCATTGGAAATAGCATCTCAAGGGCCCAACCCCAGTGAGCCAAGGTCAGATAAATCACAACTGCTTCTTGGTGGTGCATGCCCGCCGAAGGGCCCATTAAGCCAGATGATTGAAGAAGTCATCGGAACCTACGATAAGCCATCAGATGAACTTAAGGACGTAGTTAAGCAAGCTATCCAAACTCTTGACATTCACACGATTTGGATTTTTAAGTCTCTAAACAAACTCATTGCTAGAATACACGATCTTAACCCTGTATTCATTCAAGGCACCAAAGTGTCGGTTTGCTACTATAAAAACTGGCCAACCGCTTGCTGGGGGTCCATTACCGCACCAACAATCCAGGAAGAGATTTTGATGTCAAACCAAATGCATAACATCTACTTCCCATTCATTATCTGTTTGCTAAAAGAAACCGAAAACATCCATATCTACCAGAAGCCAATCAGGCACATCGTAAGCCCATTCCCAGCGCAACCAGAACCTCAGAGCCCGTGAGAATTGATAAGTCTTAGCCCAAAATAAAGCAGTTTATTTGGATTAGTATTGCGTTAGTTGTTGTTATGTTAAGTTATGTTATGTTTTTGTTAAGTTAAGTTATGTTTTTGTTAAGTTAAGTTATGTTTTTGTTAAGTTCAGTTGAGTTCAGTTGAGTTCAGTTACTCTTACCTAATACAAACTTAATACAAACTCAATACCAACTTAATACAAACTTAATATCTTGTCTGAATTGGGCTAAGTGGCTTCTTCGATCTTTCACATAAACCACCGATAGATATAAATACCAACCCAACTAGACAGAAAACACTTGGTCCTTACAATTAGTACTAAAACCAACTTAACTCATTGGTCTGCTGATGCACTTGCTCAAATAACGTGAATGTAGTTGGCGGAGGCATGGGCCGGTTCTTTGCTGAGTTCGGCAGCAAGGCGGACTATGTTGTTGTGGGGTAGGTAAAAATAGATATATCCATTGAGTGTCGCCATGCTTTTAAGCCAGACAAGATCATTTGCCGGGTTGCCCATACACCCCTCAACAACAATAAAGTTCACTATAGGAACACATAGAAGATAGTACACACTATTAAATGCAATAGAGCTCTTGCAAGCTGGACAGGTGTGTATCAAGTTGGCATCCATATGAACTGCACAGGCATTGCATACCGAATGCCCGCACATGAAATATAATAGCATCCTGCCATCGGCGCATGGGTTGGGGTCTAGTTTAGACCTCTTGGCCGCGGGTTGAGCATCACTACTTTCTGCCTCCTCCGGAGATCTGCTAAAGTGCTGGCCGCAGACCAGACAGCTGGGATTAGAGCCCGGGGCTTGGCCGCCCTGGTAGAATGATTCAGTGCCAGCAACATATCGGGCAATGAAGCTGTTGGGCTGTGCATGGTGGACGAGAAAGTAGCACAACATGGCGGATGGGACAGCAATGGTAGTGGAATGCGTGTGCACGACAGACGCACCCAGGCTCTGGTGATACGGCTTGAGTGTCAGCTCCAATGGGCCCGCCGATGAACACTTGTCCCCAATGTAGATGTTTTGAAGTGCGGACGGGGAGACGGTCAAATAATTGCGCGCGGCTATATTGCTTCGTTCTTGCGCGGACAGCACAACCCTTTCAATTCGCAGACTGTTTAGTGCTCTAAAGCGACAGATGGTCCAGCGAATAATAGCCACTAGGTCTGCTTCCGTAAGGAGTGGTTGGTCGCAAAAGCTTAAGGACAGTTGCGCGGCCGAGCTGCTTTGTAATAACTCTGTGGTTTGTGGGCTGGCTTGGTGGGCGGAAAGATCCCGTTTTATGAGAGATAGAAGGACGCCCAAGAGTATTACATTGCGCCGTTTTATCAGGGTAGACCAGCGTATATAAGTGAGTGGATCGTCAAACTGCTTGGATAGGACGATTTGGTTCTGGATGCCATAGACTGCAAGGGCGCGTAGAACTGTGCTATGTACTTTACTCTCCGCCGGGCTAACCCACAGAAGTAGTTTGTCTAGTATAAAGTCTTTAACTGTCATCTCTTTTCTCATTGGGCCCATCATGTGTTTGAACAGCGAGAATCCTGTAATCTTCGTCTGCCGTTTGAAATACTTAACCTCGTTTAGGCTAACAAAGTCGTTCATCACGAGCTGTTTGATATTGTTAGCCTGCGGCAGGGATAGTATTTGGGCAATGGCCAGGTTAGTGAAGCGCATATTGAGAACATGCAGCTCGAATGGCACGACAAACACGTATTTGGTCAGCATCCAGTACAGAATGCGGATATCGACATTGTCAAGCACCAACACCTGGAGACAAAGGCGGTAGCAGGGCCTTGTGTTCATTTCTCTTAGGAGAATGTTCATGTCAAAGTGGTTAGTGACCTGGACGTCTTCGTATATGTTCAGCAAGCGGAGCTTGTCGGCCTTGATGTTCTGGAACAGGTTCAGAACCTTGAGGCACTTGTTAAGTTTGTAGTAGCATTCAGGCCCGGCTTGGTTGCCAATGCTAATGTCTGTGTAGTAGATATTCTGGCAGAAGAACACATGTGCATCATCGGCAGTGTAGTTTGTTAGTTTGAGATCAACTTTCTCTTTTAGCACCCACCGGGGGTCGCTGAGTTTATCACCAAGACACACAATCTCCCTCCGTTGAATCTTCTCTGGTATCATTAACAACGCTTTGGCCTGATAAAGAATGTTTAAGGTGGTGTACAGGTCAAGCCGGTTTTGCTCGTAAATGTGCAGGAGGATTCTTGTTGAGATGCCGCAGTTGGCAAGAGCCTCGCGAGTGTATATATGCTTGCAGTATCCCAGGATATCGCAGGGGAGTGTAGTGGTGGGGCAGCAAACAGCGTAAGTAGCAAAAAGTTGCGGGGGAGGAGGTGCTGCTACTTGGCGTTTGCCAAGCATTTCTTGGATGGACGCCGTGCTGTCCTCAATGCCTATTAACCCAAAAACTCGGATTGGGGTGCTGTTGTGTTCGCCAAGGTGCCGAATGATGGGCCAGTGGCTAAACAGAATGAGCCGTGAGTGGTTGGTCATTAGATTCTCAAGACCGGTGAGGGATAGGCCGATAGGGTTAATGGTTTTCAGAATAATCATGCTACATTGATTTGGAAAGGCTTGAAGAAAGCCGAGGTCAATAACACGCACGCCGTGGTCCCAGTTAAATCTGATGTGGTAGCATTCTATTAGAGGCAGCGTGGTAATATAGGAGATGTTTGAGATGTATTCCCCAAAAAAGCTGATACTCAACAGTTTCCGCAGAATAATGATGCCACAGAGCATGGTCTCCAGAGACCGCATCGAGCACCCGGTAACAAGCACGCTCAAGTGCAGCGGGCTGCGATTTGTGTGATTGAGTGTGTTTATCGCCTCATTACAGCAGGTGATCAAATCCCAAGCAACGGAGTTTTTGTTAGCCTTCTGCTGCCAATCAAAGCAAAACTCGATCTCTGTACACTCAAACATGTTGGCCAGCCGAGAAAGAATCTGCAGGTTTTCGCAACAACAGTCACGAGTAGTTTGGTAGCAAATCACGACGTGTGTAGCCCTAATAGCCGCAATTCTTCTTAGAACACACAAGACCCTAATAGCCGCTTGTTGGTCTAGGTATGGTGCTAGTACAAACTTGATGTATTTGTCTGAAAAAGATACAACATAGCTAGGCGTATTGTCGAGTGCAGACATAGTTAAGCTAGGTTGAGGTGGTATGGGATTGAGTTGAGTTAGTATTGGGTTGAGTTGAGTTAGTATGGTATTGTGTTGAGGTGGTATTGAGTTGAGTTGAGGTGGTATTGAGTTGAGTTGAGGTGGCATGGGGTTGAGTTGTGGTGGTATTGAGTTGAGTTGGGTTGGTATGGTATTGTGTTGTGGTGGTATGGGGTTGACTACCGAAGCAGAACTCAAGTCAAACTCTGAAGATTGGCTAGGATTGTAAAATGCAACAATAATGCTTGGTTTGTGGCTAACTAAAAATCCAATTGATTGCAGTACGTTCAACATTTCATCCGCAGTTGGCAGCAATGGTTGTATTGCCAAGTTCGAGCCTCTAACCAATTCCATCCCATTCAAAAACACTAGCAAGATACCCATTCCCCAAACAGCTCTCCACTTTGTTAGATTGAGATAGGATTGGGTTGGGTTTAGTATTGGGTTGGGATTCGAAATAGGCTGGCAAGTAGTAGGCCATTCAAACGAGTGTCTTAGGCTGTTTTGATGGCATGAATATGATCGCTTCTTCACAAGCATAGATAGTGACATGTGTCCTGTCAAGAAAAGAGAAGATATATATTCCCAATTGAGGCTCCCAGAAATCAAAGCGATAAGATAGTCTTGTGTATTAAAATCACCAACGCCTAATTATTGAAGGAAATATGGTAGGAATTTGAACTAATAAGATACTTGGCCAAATCTTGACTTTACCATGAAATAAGCTACAGAGATAAGCAATTAAATAGAAGTGTTTGTGTACTGCTGTCATACGACCACTACCACAATACTAACTCAATACTACCACAATACTAACTCAATACCAACCCAATCAATCTGATTACTGGTCAGCTACTCACTACTTAGTACACACAGATACCAACCCAATACGAATACTAACTCGTGTTTATTCATTTTCAAGCCTATTTAGACAAGAAAGTTTCCTTGTAAGTAAGTTTCTTCCCACTGGTTTAAAACCAAGATAATCAAGATCGCCAGGAAAACCAAAACCGCCAAGTCCGCCAAGGCCGCCTGGACAACCAAGACCGCCAAGACATTTGCTCCTGCTGATAACCTATGCCAATTAAATTAAGCCACGCCAAGTCGTCCCGGTACAACTTCTCTTTGGGGGGGCTACTAACCCAATAGGACAGCACGAGTTTCCTGGCTTCGTTGGAAGGATTCTCCATTTGGGTTAGTGTTGGATTGGATGGAGTTGGATTGGATGGAGTTGGGCTGCTTGCTGGGCTAGAATTGTCAATCCATAGTATGCTGATATTGCTGGGGTTATTAATCTTTAGAAACAGTAGTAGTATCTGGGCTTCGATGGATTCTTTGTCTGTCACTTCCCCATAAACATTCACTCTCGGCCCAAATGCTGACTTTGTGCTAACCTTTTTCTTTTTCTTTTCCCTTTCTGTCTTCTTTTCTTCTTCTCTCCTAATCTCTTCTTCTCTCCTAATCTCTTCTTGTGTCGGGCTTTGAGGAGTAGAAGCAAAGGACAGAGTCAGAAAGCACATGCTATTTGCGTTTCGAGTTAGGGTGGAATGGAGCTCAAGATCCCAGTTTAGATAGTCCGGGGCGAATGATGGACTGGTCTCCAAAGTGTAATTAGTTGTCTCGTCAATTATCCCGTACTCTTTTAAGCCCGTGGTTATCATTTCCTTGGACTTCTCTAGTATTAAATTATCTGGTAGATTATCTGAATTGGCCATTATATTTGACCCTATCTCTTCGTCTACTATCTTAGTGTCTGAATTGCTATCTGCACTAGCCAACACCATGCTAATCCCTATCAGAACACAACACAGCCATACACACACTCTCTTTGAGTTTATAACTGCCATCTTGTTTGTCCGAGTCATGCGAATGTGATCTTTTCTTGTTAAATTCCATATTTATACTCTCGAAACTGATCTAATCAACTCATTCTGAACTTAACCGTTATCTAAATATGAGCCCTTCTAATTTGCAAGCCAACTCAAACCAGCTAAGTCCAAGCAAAACTAACCCAAACAGCGACTATATCTGACTTCTATAGCCTACACTATTACATGCTTTTCTTATCTCTCAATTTTCTTCAAATTCAAAAACAACCATGGCAATGATAGTACAACTCGGAATACCATTTACTTACCAAGCAATAAACTCAACTCAAACAAATTCTTACTGCGATAGTATTAAGATGTGTTAGTTTAGTATTAAGATGAGTTAGTATTGTGATGAGTTCGTATTAAAATGAGTTGGGTTGGTATTGTGGTGGTATTGTGGTGGTATTGTGGTGATATTGTGTACACTTTATCTATTTGGGTTGGTATTAGAAAATTCGCATCTTAATCTAACAGAATACCAACTGTCGTGTCCCGGGGAAGGGATAATACCTTTCAACCAAGCATATTCGACTAAAGACCGATTTTGAAGTGGTTAGTATTGAGTTGGTATAACTTAGGTTCTCTTTATCGTACGTCATCGTGTGATAGTCTGCAAACTCATAATATAAATACTAACCTGAGCTTGTGATTTCTAACTCAAGATTTAATCGCGTTCGCTGCGATCAGTGCCAAGCCGATAAACATCACAGCACTACACTCCGGTAGATAACTCACTTTGAAGTGGAGGCCGGCGAGGACACCACACAACATAATAATAACGCACTACTAACACAACACCACGAGTGTAGGTCTTTAACAAAGTCTACTTGATGATAATAAAAGCTTCACTACGAATCTAATACTAACCCAAATTTCCAGAACAACCAACCTAATCACTGGCAAGTTATGCATTAATCGCTATCAATTGACATTACTACTAACACGTAACTTTAATCTAACCAATTTAGTTTTGCATATCTACATTACACTCAGTACGAAGTTATCCTCGCCCACGCCCTGATTTACTTAATAAATGGTGCCCACACTCATCTCAAGGAATGTCTTTAATAGAGTATGTATGGGCTAATGGATGCTATCCACCCTATGCGCACTACACTAACCCAATTAGCTCTCTAGCCACGAACCAATTCGGTGCGCCGCTCAATGTATCCATCAATTTATTCGGTGCCAAATCACCCCTAGATGATCAGAAATATTAAGAGAGTAACAATAACGGCCATCATACTAATGTGGGTGGGATTTGCGGCAATGGTGGCGGTTCAGCCGAACCCAACCAAAGCCATTCATTCGTCCAAGACCCATACTGCTCTCGTGCTTTCCAAAATAGAGGGAGGATTGGGTGATGTTAACTGGGCAGCTAACATCGGGAAGGAGTTAGAAAAAGTTGCAGGTATAAAACCAACCTATCTATTCGTGGGAAGAACTACTGATGGAGCCATTGAGTATTTAAACCAAAGAGGTGATCTGGGCGGCGCGCCAAAGATCATTCACGACCTGGACAAAGTAGAGCCGGGGTATGCAGGAGTATATGTGTACAGGGAAATAGATGATCCCACGTATAGCTCTCTGGAGTTGGAAGAGATTGCGGCCCTTGGGGAAAAGTTCGACTGTACTGTCATATTCCACATGTGTTGGAAATCTCGGTTCGCTACAGATAGATTGCCTGATGATCTGAGAAAAAGATTCATTCCGGTAGAAGAGTATGGGGATGTGTTTGGGAAGGATATTCGTCAAGAAACCCGGATCTTCTTTCTGGACTACAAAGAGAAGTACGGGTTAGCTGTTTCTGAGGAAGACTGTGTGCGTCTAAAGGTAAGTGCCGACGAGTTCTACAACAGGCTGGGAGAAGAGGCCAAAAAGAAGTTCAACTTAGAGTATGTGAAACAGTTGGAGAAGAAGATAGGCGTAGGTGTGCCGTACCACTTTGCCTATTACAACTTGTTTGCCGGGAATTATAACTTCAGAGAACTGTCTATGAGGTTCAGGCCATTCTTGACCCCAATTGCTAAGCTCCAGGGCCTGAATAATCAAGACCCAAATACTCCCATCACATTTCTGGTGAACCAGCTTGATCTTTACAAAGAGGCCAAACTTGAGGCGGAAAGGCGTCAAAAGTATCGCCGTTCGTCTCAGGAAAGCCAGCAGTTACTGAAACCAGAAGCAGACGAGGTATCGCGCGAGGATATAGTCCAAGAGATTCTCCAAAAGGCTCGTATCACAATAGGAGAAGACGGAGTGCAGCAAACTAATCTTGCAAGCATCAATAGAACAGTTCGGCTGGTGTCGTACGAGAATCTCTCACCCGAAGCTTTCGAATACTTCTTACTAAAAAGCGAGCTGGTTGCAGGTTGCACTGGCGATATGTCTCTTACACAGGTGCTGTCATCCAAGCGAATTCCTGTGTACGAGTGTCTTTTGCATAAACGGGAACTCTGCAGCAATGTTCTGAACGCCCTATGGATAGAAGCCATGGAGGAGATTGATATTCCCGTGGAGAAGGACTCGCAGGTCTTCCCTGGGTTAGAGGAGGACAACATGAATTCCTGCTTATTGGGAATGAAAGCACTGACTCCAGAGAATGTAAGGCAGATCTATCCTATCTTCCACTCAAAGTTGCTAGAGAACGCCTTCTCGCCATGGTTCAAAAAGAGAGTGGAAGAGATACTGAATTGAGTTGGTATTCTATTAAGTTGGTATTCTATTAAGTTGGTATTTTATTAAGTTAGTATTCTATTAAGTTAGTCTTCTATTAAGTTGGTATTCTATTAAGTTGGTATTCTATTAAGTTGATATTCTATAGCAAAAGTCTATCGATAACTCTGCCGGCATAAGGCGTGAGTTGATTCGACAAAAAGTATATCACTGGATATGAAAGCAGCTAACAAATCACAACCCTCACAATCCGCTGCTTATTGGGTTGGTAAAAGTGTTATACGCGCTTTCCTTACCTTGTTTTCTCTTCTTATTGGGTTAGTATTGGCTTTGAGTACGGGTGATATTTGAACCAATAACTGACAATTCATTTCCTAATCTGGAAACCTCGACTATAAATATAACTGGTTTTTAAGTTACCGATGCTTAATCAACTAAGAAGATTCGAATTGGTACTTGTTTTTGTGCTTGTTTGGTGCTTATTGGCATTAAACAGTCAAGTTGTGGCCACCATAGGTGTGTCTTCAAATATAATGAATTCAGTTCTATCGCTAGAAGAATTGGCGGCCCTCGACTTCCCGTGGGCCAAAAAGACCTTGGAGGACTATAAGAATGGGCGGATAAAGCACAATGGCTTGCCGCTAGTTTCCTCTACGGATGAGAATGCGAAGCGCTTGTTTCTAAGCGGTGACTTTTATCTGCGCCTAGGAATTGTGCGCAATGGCATACCGCCAGATGAATATGTAGGCGCCGATGTGTGCTTGAAATGGCTAACACTGCCCCGACGTCGTCCTGGCATCCATTTCCCACGAATACCAAAGAACCAGGGACCAAACATTCTTATGCTGTACGCTGCGCTAAATCAAGATCCAGCCCATCCAAACCAAATCCAAACGACTATCAATCCTAAGCATGAGAATTTCATTGAGGGCCTTGCCGATCATGCCTATTGGATAGAAAATCTAGAAACCACAAATGGACTTGAGATACTATGTCTTGACGAAACAAAGTACGCCGAGCTCACTGGACAAAAAGAGGACAAATCTACAGAGACTATGAAGCTATACTCCCTTATTCAAACCAAGGCAAAACTCCAAACTCTGCGCCGCAGTTTTATATTCAACTACATCCATCCACTCAACACACAGCTCTACTGCACCGGTCTCAACTATCTATATGATGCCGATAATAAGACATTCGTGATAATAAACCACACTGCTGTTAATTATCTGGGCTCCCACCCTCTTAAGATCTGCCAGGTTGCGCGATTTACCTTTGAGGACGCAGTGCGCCTGCGGTATGCTCCCGACGATACATACACCATAGTAGCCAAGGATGTGCATTTAGAACCCTTCAGAAAGGCAATCCAGCGGTATTTGGACGTTGGCGAGCACCGGAGGTTCTACCGGGATAGCAACAAGAACATAAGCACCTTTGCTGAGTATGCACAGTATAAAGAGCTGAAGAAACAAAACCCTGAGTCGGCTAAGCCCAATAAGGAAGTAATCGAGATAGTAGGCATGATAAAGCTACCAAAAATTCGCTGCACGGAAGGCATACTAGGCATCGCCAAGACGCCCGAGCATGTAGATTACCTTTCTGACGGGCGGAACTGGTCTTGTACAGCACTCATTCTAAGCGAATATATACTCTATTATTTCCTTGCCTACATTATATTGTTTATCTTGGCAGCCTTTTGTTGCCTTTTCTTCTCGCAGGGCCTGATCTCCAGTATCTTCATTAACCCGGCTCAGGGTGTGTATGGGGGTAATAGTCTCTGTTTCATATTCATTGCAATCGCAACGGTCGCTTTATTGGCTAAATTTGTATATCAACTATCTACCCGTTGCAGATGTAAAGTCTGGGCTCTCTCCAACAGCATGCTTCTGCCACTTCTGGGAATAGCACCAGTCTCTGTTATTGGATGTCTGGTTGGGTGGATAGTGCTTTATCGCCGCTGGCCAAGCCTAGGCAGGCATATTCACTGGATACTTTATTTCCTTTCATTCCTACTCCTTGATGCCTTGCTAATTATAGATGACCATATCTTTGACGAGCACGCTTATTGGATTATGAACTCGGATCTTATATGTGAATCGTTCTATCTCTTTGGCGTGGGACTCCTTATTGATCTTTCTAACCTGAGGCTTGAACAAGAGCGAGAACAAGAACAAGGCGAGAACAAAAAAGAACGCCGTGTTTCGATAATCGCAATCAAAACAGCCAAAATAATAAGTCTTTTTATTGTGGTGTTAGGGTTAGTAGGGCTGGTGATTTGGGGTTGTGGTCTGTGTTGTGGTGCGTCATACTTGAAAACGCGCCAAGATCGAAATGTTAGATGGTTTAAATAAAGTTGAAATTCATATCTCAAAATAGAACTACTAAATCCAACTCAATACTAACTAAAATCCAATTCTGAACAAGATTTATATATTTCATATTTATGCTACTTGTTTTGGTCGGGCCATGAAACTACAATGTATTTATTGATTTCATCGTTATTTATACTTTATGATCTCCTGATGTTATCATCAAGTACAAATAAGATCTTGTTTGGTATGACCAACTATCTTCATACTTTGGTATGAACCAATGAGTGACATTTATGTCATACAACAATGCTAATCTCTAAATAGTGAAACTATCAGTGATTATCGATGTCATTAAAGCCATAAATCAACAAGGCAAATTGGGTTAGTGATCTTTGGTGGCATTGATTTCCAAAGCAGGCAAGCATCCTTATGATCCTCAGGAGCAAGTTATGTTTGATAGCCTTGAGAAAGTCTTGAGAAAGATGTGATAGAAGTAATTGGCACTGATGGTTCTGAAAGACCAAAGGGAGTCTTTATAGAAGGACATGGTAGGAATTGGCATCTAGACACAGAAAAGTGCTACAAACACGTTTGAGGTCATTATAAGAGCAAAGAGATGCAAACACAACTGGATCGATTATTGCCAAGGATAGATCAGAACGAATAAAGGTGTTTTTTTGACTAGTATACTAACCCAATTCATATCTAAGAAGTCTAGAATGCGGTTACAAAAGAGTAGATTGTGTTTTTGATAATTTCCTAAAAAGGAAGAACGAGAACAAAATGACGTCATCTTTTCTTTAGTTTGGCATGCGATTTCCAAACAGTCGCAAAATAGTGCGAACTTGAGTTGGGTTAGTATTTCTATGTATAATATCCCAAATAAAGCATCTTTATTGCTTTTTGTCCTATATCCCATCTCGAAATCCCTAATACTAACTGTGGTGTCCGTCATCCCCCACACATCTTTATGAGGCTCTCGAGATATCTCTACTTTTAGACGAGTAAGTACAGATAATGTAGATATTTATTCCGTACTACTTTAGATAAGCTAAGATATTCCAAAACCAACTCAATCTTGTTATCACTTGTTTCAGAGGATAAATATACGACGAAGATTGGGTTGGTTTGGGTTGGTTTGGGTTCAATTTATTGATTATGAGGGCTTGGTATTGGGTTAGTGCAAAAAGCTCTTTGGTCAAAAGCCATCACTTAACCCTACATTCATAAGTCAGGGCAGACTAAAGACTAATTCAAGCTTACATAAATACAATCAGGTTAGATATTCGAATATTTCTAATTTGGGTCTTGAATTGGGTTAGATTGGAATGATAAAGCCAACTAACTACAGAAGATCTTGTTCAGTATGACCAACTATCTTCATCCTTGGGTACGATTTGTGACATTTATGTCATACAACAGTTATTATTGTGATGGTTGCTTTTGAAATTTAATAAAATGCAGAGATAAGAAAAGGG